GGGAGACCAGAATTGTATGCAGTATTCTAAGAGCGACCTCGCCAATGTCCTGTACATGCTGCAACACGATGTCCCAACTCCTATACTCAATGCACTGACCAATGAAGGCAGCTGTGCCAAACGCTGCCTTCAGCACCCTATCTACCTGCAACTCCACTTTCAAGGAACTGAGCCCACACCCCTAAGGTCTCTTTGGTCGCCAACAATCCCCAGGGCCCTACCATGATCTGTATAAGTCCTGCCCTGTTTTGTCTTGCCAAAATGTAACACCTCACATTTATCTGAATTAAACTCCATCTGCCACTCCTCTGTCCTTTGGCCCATCTGATCAAGGTCCCATTGTACTCTGAGGTAACCTTCTTCACTGTCCACTGCACCTCCAATTTTAGTGTCATCTGCAAACTTAGTAACCATGCCTCCTATACACACGTATGTGCAAATCATTTGTATGAATGACAAAAAACAGTGGACCCATCACCAATCCTTACAGCACACCACCAGTGAGAGGTCTTCTGTCAGAAAAGCAACCCTCCAATACCACCCTATGTCTCCTACCTTCAAGCCAGTTTTGTATCCAATTAGCTAGCTCCTCCTGGATTCCATGTGATCTAACCAGTTTACCATGTGGAACCTTGTCAAACGCTTTGCTGAAGTCCATATGCGACATCCACCGCCTTGCCTTCTTCAATCTTCTTGACACCTATTCACAAAAACTCAAGTTAGTGAGACATGATGTCCCACACACACCACCTTGCTGACTATCCCTAATCAGTCCTTGCCTTTCCAAATATATGTAAATCCTATCCCTCAGGATTTCCTCCAACAACTTACCCACCACTGACATCAGGCTCACTGATCTGTAGTTCCCTGGTTTTTCCTTACCTCCTTTCTTAAACAATGGCACCACATTAATTAATCTTCAGTCTTCCAGCACCTCACCCATGGCTGTTAATGATGCTAATAGCTCCATAAGGAGCCCAACAATCTCTTCCCGAGCTTCCCACAAAGTTCTGGGAAACACCTGATCAGGTCCTGGGCATTTATCTGCCTTTATACATTATAAGACCTCCAGCACCACCTCTTCTGTAGTATGAACTCTTTTCAAGACATCGCTATTTATTTCCCAAGTTCTCTCACTTCTATGTCCTTCTCCACAGTAAATACTGACATAAAATATTTGCTTAGTATCTCACCCTTTGGTTCCACACATAGACGGCCTTGTTGATCTGTAAGGGGCCCTATTCTCTCTGTAGTTACTCCTTTGTCCTTAATGTGTTTACAGAATCTCTTTAAATTCTCCTTAACTCTATTTGCCGAACCTATCTCATGTTCCCTTTTTGCTGTATAACTATAATGTTATTCCTAACCAAGAATGCCACCCCACTTCTGTTACCCCCCCGCCATCCTCCTCTAACATCAGTACTCCAGATTCTTAAGTCGCCAGTCCTGTCGCTCCCTGAACCATGTTTCTGTAATAGCTATGATATTCTAGTCCCTTGTTCCCAACCATGCACTAAGTTCACCTTAGTTGCCTTTTAGACCTCTTGTATTGAAATAAATACAGTTTAGTTTATCAGTTTTACCTTGTTCTCTGCCAAACTGTTGCCTGCCTTGACTATTTAACTTGATCCCCTTATCTACTGTACCAGCCTCAGCCTTTTATCTTTTCTCTCTTTTTGGGTTCTCAAACCAAACACACTTCCTGCAGATACTCACTGTCTCTCAGGAACGTTCAGATTCCCCCTGATCTCCCACCTCTGACAGATGAGCACATCGCTGTACTAAACACCATTTCTGCCCTTTTAACAATTTACAGACCCAGGAAATACCTACAAACAAAGAGCACACTTTGTGCTAGCGCTGAGTTTGAGCTTTCTTGCTGTTCTTGGATAACTTAATAACAATCCTTGATATTAAAAGTCAATCAAGTGACCAATCTTGGTACTTAGATAACAAAGCTGAGCACTGGAAAATACCCAAAAACCAAGAGCAGCTCTATCAGTCATGATACTCTTCCATCCACCATTTTTATACCTTTTTTATAACGTAACATTGCAGCTTGCCAGTTTGTTTTAGAAATGAAATTTCTTTGGGATTTATTTAGCTGTGCACCTGAGGGTTATTTTGTTGTCTGAATGTAAGTAAGTCGAAACATTCCACCCCAGTCCCACTTAATATTGCTCAAATAGCTATGCATGTGGATTAAAAGTGTTTTTAATGTGCATTCAGTTTTCAGGGTGGTTTTTGTGTCATTTTTTTTCCCACATATGTGGAACTTGCAGCGTGTGTTGCTATCCAAATAGCTTTTTCTGAAGATGTTGAGAGTGAGCCAGCTTTTCAATCAACTGAATGTCTTGCTTAGCCATTTCAAAGGGCAGTTAAGAATTAACCACATTGCTGCGGGTCTGAGTCTTTTAGAAGTCAGACCAGGTAAGAATGGCAGACTTTCTTCCCTAAAACAATGTAATTAAACCGGATGGATTTTAATATTTGGTTTTGGAGACATGAATGTTCAAATTATGTTAGAGCTGATATTAACTTGTTTGGAGACGTCAACAACCATGAAATTTTAATATTAAGGAAACAAATCATCCAAATCACCTTGGTTGTAAACAGATGTAAGTAAATTAGATCCAAATCACTGTTCTTAGTCTAGAAACAAGTCACTGTCCTTTTATTTTAAAAACATTTATTAGACTAGCTCACTTTTTACTTCTGCTTTCAACTGCAATTGCCACAGAGGTAATTTACTACAGTGGGGTAACCTGAACACAGTTGTTAAATATTTGTGGAGTGACCCTGCACTTCCTGCTGTATAGTGATGTGCAAAACATTAGGGGATTTTTTTAACTCTTCCACCTATAGCTAGAACAGGAACAGGGGTGCATGTGGAGTGAACTAGCCCCCCTCACATTGAATTCCTTTGGCCCCATAAGTTACCATGTTTCTCCTCCGTTTTGTCTCTTGTGGTTTGAACCTCCCTTAGTATTGGCTATAGAATTTTAAAATCTAAAATGCATAAGACATGCTGCAATATGCCTTGCTTCAGCAAAATCTGGCTCCAAGTCTCATTCTTAAACCAAAATGTCACTCAAAAGAAAGTTCACAAAATTGCTAGCTCCACTTCCTCTGGTGCTTATCCCCTTGAATGCATTTGTGCTTTTCAGCTCAACTAGTCCCTGTTGTAACAAGCTACACATGGTGTAAGTGGGGTTTTCTGGAATTTCCTTTTGCATTCATTAATGACAGCCTTGTATAGCTAGGGAAAAGTGGTGTTCACCTTGCAATGTATCTGAAGTGCAAACACACTCTGGTCAATGACAATTGCTTCTTTTGGCCTCTGTCTTTTGTATTTTAATACTGACTAATGAGCACAGAAAGAATGTATGAGGCACCAGCAAACCTTTCTGCTTCTTTCTCTCTTGGCAGGTCAGCTGCACAGAGTAACATGTCCACTGAAGAACTCATTGCAAAGCTAGCAGATAGCAACAGTAAGTGGTCAAAGCAAATGCTTCAAGTTATTCGGCATGTGTGGACTGAACAGGGCAAACTAATTACGACACCGGAAGATGCCAAGCACATGCTCACTGTGGGACAGGTGAGATGGCCCAGTGTGTGTAATTTTATTTTGAAGCTTTAAGGTGTGTACATTTGCATCTGTTATTTGCTATTCAATCTGTTCTGTTACTTCAAGGTGTGTAGCACCAACTTTTATTCTTTTGCATTTCTTGGACGTTATAACAGATGCTACTATGTTAGAACCAGAAGAGACCATTAAGTCTCTAGAAGAAATGTAAGGCTATCATTCATTTAAGACTTTTCATTACCCCTTTTATTAATGTGAACTTCCATTTCTGGTTTGCTGGTTGTTTTCAGCATATTGGTTATTGCTGTAGTTACTCTGAAGTCTGGCTGGCTGATTTTTTTTTTTTAGTAATCTATATGCATCGTAAGGTGACTGAGAGCAGATGGATAGAAACAGAGCAGACTAGACTAATTCTAAAATGCATTTAATCAAGATTTTCAATACATACACAATGTATGATGTTTGTAAAAGTGCAATGCATGTTTGTTTTTTCTTGCAAGCTTGTGGATTTGAAATGGAAACTGGGAATGGCAGTCAGTTCTGATAGCTGCAGATCCCTAAACCACCCCTACGTAACCATGATGCTGAAAGTAGCTAACCCCTCGGGAGAAATCATCAGCCGATCATTCGAAATGACCATTCCACAATTTCAGGTCAGTAACCTGAGGAAGAAACAAGAAAGTTGCACAATCTTTTGTTTAACGCTGGGAAACTGGGGTCTTCTTTTTTTTTTTTGCTGCAAGAAAGTAGTGCCTTGTAAACCTGTTTGTGTTCTTAGTATCATTTTATCTCCAGGTGTTTTTAACCACATTCTCATAATCACTAAGACCATCTACTCCCTCCTCCCTATAATACCTGTCCTGCCTTATCCCGTCGGCTGAAACCTTCATCCATGCATTTGTTACCTCTTGGCTTGATTTATTCCAATGTACTCCTACAGAATCTCCCACATTATACCCTCTGAATCTGAGATCATCCAAAACTAATACCCATGTCTTTACTCGCACCAAGTCCTGTTCACCCCTGTGCTTCCTGACCTGTATTAGCTTCCAGTTAAGCATTGATTTTTAAAATTCTCACCCTCCTTTTCAAATCCTCTGTGTTCTTGCCGAGCCTTATCTCTGGAATCAGCTCCAATATAGCAACATGTTCTTCCAATTCTGGCCTTCTGAGCAGCTCTTATAATTGTTCTGCTTTTGGTAGCCATGCCTTCACTTTCCTGGGCCCAGTCTCTGGAATTCCCTCCTTTTTGATCTCTAACTCTCCTCTAACCCTGGAGGTGCTCCTATCCCTTTGACCAAGCCCTTTGTTTCTTCTTTTTTTTTTTTTTGGGCATCATCTTATCTAGTAATGCTCTTGATGGCTCCATGTCGGATTTTGCTTCATGACACTCAAGTCAGTGTTGCGAGCTCTAATAAAAGAAGATGGATGAAGGAGGATGGTGTACTCATCAGGTCCCTTGTTGCCTGTCTTTACTGATCCAGTGAGCTGAATAGAGAAGTTGACTCAGTCTTGAAAATGACAACTCGAAAGACATTTTGTTCTTTTATTGTCTTTTTTTTTTATTCATTCACGTGATCTGGATATCACTGGCTGGGCCAGCACTTAAGCCCATCCCTAATTGCCTTTTTAAGCAAGTGCCTTTTCATGGAGCAGTTAGCAGTCAACCACTTCGCTGTGGGTCTGGAGTTACATAAAGACCAGGGCAAGACAACTGATTTCCTTCACTAAATGACCTTTATTGAGCCAGGTGGCATTTTAACAACAATCTGCCAGGTCCAACATCGCCCATTATTGGTATGTGCTTTCTATTCCAAATTTGTTTAATAAACTGCAATCAAATTCACAGATTCCCACATTGGGGTTTGAACTCCTATCCGTTTGGATTATTAGTCCAGGCCCCTGGGTTTCTGGTCCCATTTCATAACTACTGTACCAACTGCAAGCCTCCAAAGATGGAAGAATACTTTTGTGAGTAGATAGTGGGAGGTGAGGTTTTCCCCCAAGGTTCCCCATGATGGAACAAGAGGCGAGTTTCCAGGGAAACTAAAGTACATGGAGGAGAAAGGTATATGGTATGATGTGGTTTAGACTAAGATGTTGGTATATTGGTCATACCTCTGGACAAGTAACCCAAGCTAATTCTGTGGGGATATGGGTTCATTTTCAACCATTCCACTGTCAATCAAAAGAAAGAAACTATGTATAAGGCAGCAATGGTGATTGTGACTACAACTCCTCCAATTCACCAACTGGAAGGAAGTCTCCCATCCTTATCCTTTTTTGGCCTGGATATGACTCCAAACCTGCAGCAGTGTGGTTTACTCTGGGTAAGCTATGGAGGCAGCATAGTTTGGTTTGGGAATCGAGCAACACTCTTGTCCCATGAAGAAATTAGGAGCCTTGTGTGGAGCATAGACAAATTGAGGAACATCTGCTGTAAATTCTGTCAGAGATTGCCCAAGCTAAAAGTTGGGGAGGAAAAGATTATCTCAACTGATTAATCACTGAACAAATTGACCCCAGCAACAGGTTCTGTTGGAAGCAGACAAAGCTGAACTTGCTGGTTGAGAAGCTCTACCTATCCCTGAAGTTGAGATAATCTTTTCCTCCCCAACTTTTAGCTTGGGCAATCTCT